TTCCTTCTTTTTCAGGATGTTCCAAACTGTTGTATTGGCCACTCCCAAAGTTTTTGCTCTCTCTCTCTGATGGGTTTATTTTGTTTTCTCAGCCTAATGATGGCCTCATTCACTCACATGGACACCTCTTTGGACCTCATGTTGGGAGTTCCAGTGAACAGCTACCAAATGCAAATGTAACACTCAGAACCACCTCCAGTCCTTTTATCTGCTTGATTGGTTATGGGATACCCAGGAAACAGGCCACACCTGGCCATGCAGCTGCTTGTCAGCCATTCATTCCATTACTTATGAGCCACCAATGATGGGGGGGGGTATGCCACTGACTGTATTTCCTGAATGGTTAGTGCCCCACTTTTGTCAAACCCCTTGAATTACAGCTGAAAGTCCTGATTTGCTCCCATCTAAGTGTGTTTCCTTTCAACTTCAGTGTGATGGTATACAGAGGCCAAATGCCAAAACAGTTACCCTTGTTCCAATATTTCTGGTCCTGACTGTATGCCAACTGTGTCAGATCTTGCAGGATAGGCAGAAATCATGGGAGAAAAATGGTCCCTCAAATAATGGGCCAAAGACATGAAGGGCTTTCTATATGACAATCCACACATTGAATTGCACCTAGAAGCCTGCTGGTAGAGGTGCAGAGGTTTTATATGGATATATTATAGTCTGCCTGCACTGCCCTTTTCTGTACCAGTTAAAGCTTCCAAATGGGCTTTAAGGACAGCTTCAAGTGGAGTGCATTGCAGGAATCCAGATGAAAGGTGACCAATGCATGAATGACTGTGAATAGGACCCTCAATTAAGGAATGGGTGCAATTGATGCACAAGTTGGATTTATGCAAAGGCTATCTTGGCCACAGATGTCACCTGCTCCTTAAGCAGGAGCTGTGAATCGAGAAAGTTCCCCAAATTGTGCACCAGTTACATCTGGAGGTGTATTATCCCATTCAAAACTAACACTACAAAATCCACAGGAACAGGAGGTCCATGAACCCACTTGGTTTTGTAAGGTTTGAGCTTGAATCTGTTATCCCCATCCAGACCCTCACATCCTCTAGGAACTGGGACAAGACTTTGACAACATCACTTGGTTGCACTGGGGCTCAGATATAGAACTATCATCAGTTTACTGATTTTACCTAACCTCATATTGATGGATGACCACACCCAGAGGTCTCATGTCAATACTAAACAGGAAGGGTGCAACCTCTCCCCCCTGTCAACACCTACTGGAGCAGATTATAGAAGAAGGAGAACTCTGCAACACTATTACTCATACTTCCAAGGCCCATAGTTGGTCCAGAGGACATCATGACTGATGGTTTCAAAACCTGCTGAGAGATCAAGAAGAACCAGGACAGATGCATCACCAAAGATAGTCAACAAGTACAATCAATGCTGTCTCTGTACTATGCTGATACCCTGGGCATACACCATATGTTGAATAAACTTTACTCTGAACTAGTGCAATAATGTTACATTTTTAGATATGCATTATGCCTGGAAGATAGCGATTTTTTAATCCTTTAGTTAGGTAGGAAGTTTGTTTTTGGTTTGCACCAGCATCAATATTAGAATTTCAGTGAAAATTAGAACTAGATCCATTTTTTCCCAGTTGTCTTGAATGTGAGAATTGCTTTTTACTCACCTACTGTGAAAGTCTTGTATTGTCTAATTATTTGTAATTGATATTAGAATTTAAAATAGCAAAGCTTATTGGTTGATCCTTTTAATGTTTATTCAAGGATTCTGAAGTAGCCCTGGTGTGTTTTCAAGACCTGATAATTTGTTCATGGATTTCATTAACAGTTTTCTTCACAAAGTGCTTTTAGTGATAATCAGTAGGCAATTTGCCATTTTTCTTTTCTCTTTGGGTTATTTTAAAGGCATGTTGCTGCATGATGCTATAACAAAAAAAAAAAA